TATCAATGGCATTCCAGCCCCCTCTCAGACCCTGCTTCAGGCTCCAACTTTAACCCTTCAGTTTCCAGATCCAACTAAAACCAGGTGGACCAGGTTTGGTCTTGGGACTTCCAGGCCTCTTTCCAAGGAAGGCTGAGGGCTGGAAGTGCATTCTTGCCTAGGTGCCCTAGGAATCTGTACTTGGCCACCCCCACCCCCTGTGGGCCTCTTCTACTTCTCTGACAAATTTCCCCATTTTTACTCTCCCTCTAGGCAGGTGCCTTATTAAACACGGGAAGAGTGGGCGACATGAGGGAGGAAGCTGAAGCCCTTGGCCACCCTGGAGGTACCTCTGGCAAGGACTGGTCCCTGGAGGTGGGAGTAAAAGTCGGGGGTATACTAATCCTCTGAGCATCCACCTCCCACGTGGCTGGCCAGCCCCTAGTAGTGCACGGTGTCTTCCCTTGCTTGAGTGTAGAGATTTTGGGCCAAAGAGCTGAGATCTAAAAATAATAGTGTGGACCAAAAGGGACCACAGGCTAACCTGACCAGCTCAGGGAAGGCCTGCGTGGTGGCAGCCTTGCAAACTCAGACCTAAAGTAACCACAAAGGATGGTCTGAAATTAAAACTTTTTTAAGCTAAAAAAGCAGCTTATGGTAGGTAGGCATGTCCTAGGCTGGTATCTTCTCTGACAAAGGTCAGTCTTTAATTATGATAACATATCGTTGGAATGTGAAAGTAATTTTCCTCTTTCCAGACCCCTCAAAGCACAGGCACCGCTCTGCAGAGACCACAAATCCCCTCATTGTTATTGAGTTAATTGTTGACTGTTAACTATCCTGCACCCACCTAAGTAAAAGAAGTGTGTGTCTATCATTTTACTTTTTACCCAATCCAAGAAGTTCACCCCCTCCCCACCTTGCTTTATCCCGCTCCCCTAATCTACCACCAATGGACTTCATGTAACCCACTTACGTCTCCTCTTTTGATTGTAATGTATAAAACAAAGTGCAGCCTTAGCCAGTTTGGCTCAGTGGTTAGTGTCTGCCCGCAAACTGAAGGGCCCCAGGTTTGATTCCGGCCAAGGGAATGTACCTCGGTTGCAGGCTGGATCCCCGGCCCTGGTCGGGGTGCCTGCAAGAGGCAACCAATAGGTGTGTCTCTCTCACACTGATGTCTCTCTCCCCCCACTCCCCACCTTCCATTCTCTCTGAAAAGCAATGGAAAAAATATCCTTGGGTGAGGATTAAAATAAATAAAGAAAGAAGATAAAGCCTTTAAAAAACAAAACAAATAAAACCAAGTGCAAAAGGAGCATTATCTCAATCCGTTGATATTCTGCTTCCTGCGCAGTGTTGGCAATTTGGCTCAAATAAACTCACAAAATTCTTCACAGGTTTGAATGTTTCTTAAGTTAACGAGAGGGTCCTCTTAGTGCCTTCTTGGGCCACTATGATTACCTGGTGTGTGCAGCACTGCCCCAGGCCCCGTGACAATGTTGGGGGTTTAGAGCTGCAGAGCTGCCTGTGGAACTGGAGGACCCTGGAAGCAAGGCCCAACTGTCCCAGTTTCCCCAGGACGCAGGACTTAGTGCTCAAACGAGAATGTCCGTAGCAAATCGGGAGGAATTAGTCACCTTATGGCCAGGGCAGGCGGCAGACTTGCACTGGGCCTGGAGACCACAAAAGGCCCTGGCCTGCGGCTGCCCAGGATGGGGGGCCTTGTGGGAAGGTCAGTGGGCCCATCCAGAGACAGGGGCTCTTTGAATCTGCCTGATACCTGCCCAAACCTGTGGGGCTGGATTCCCGGCAGCCCTGCAGACACTGTAGAGGGAGCCCACTGAAGGCTTGCTTCTATTTGCCCTTCTTCTTAGCCACCCCCTCTCCCTGTGCAATGTGAGGCCTCTGATGCTGGAGGAGCTGGCCAAACTCGCTGCAAGATTCCCTGTGCCCATCATAGCCTGCTGTTATCTGCACTCCACTCCCAGTTCTCAGGCATCCAGGGTCAGGCCCTCTTACTAGACAGCACTACCCCCGTGGCCCTGTGAGGTGGCACCAGGCCCTGTGGGGAGGCACCAGGCATGAAGGAAGCCCCAACCACAGGAGCCCACTTGCAGACCCACTGTTTAGCTCTGGCCTCACCATTTTAGGGGTTCTTAAGCTTTTTTGGGTCAACCACCCCTTTGAATTTCTCATGAAAGTATAAAGCTCTCTCTCTTTTTTTAAATCCTCACCTGAGGATATTTTTTCCATTGCTTTTTAGAGAGAGTGGAAGGGAGAGAGAGAGAGACATCGAGAGAGACATTGATGTGAGAGAGACACATCAATTGGTTGCCTTCTGCACGAGCCCTGTCCAGGGCCAGGATCGAGCCTGCAACTGAGGTACGGGCCCTTGGCTGGAATCAAACCTGGGGCCCTTCAGTCCTCCAGCCTGTGCTCTAACCGTTGAGCCAAACCAGCTAGGGCAAACCTTTCTTAAAATATCCTAAAACCCATCCCCAGAGCAATGCACCAACCTGAAGTTAGAATCATTTATAGCCCTAGCCAGCTGGCTCAGTTGGTTGAAGCATCAAATGTGCCAGGGTTTGGGGTTTGATCCCTAATCAGGGCATATACAGGAGTCAGCGTGAATGGGTGGAACAACGGGGTTGATGGGTCGATGTTTCTTTCTCTTTCTCTCTCAAATCAATTAAAAAAAATTTTTTTAAAGAATTATTTATAAATAAAGCCCTATTGAGCAGATGAGGAAGCACCTAGCACCCTCCCCTCCCCGAGGCTTGTAGAGTGGTGCAGTGATCAGGTGGGTCCTCCCAGCCCTCCTGGGCACTTGTTGAAGGGCACCTCCTCCCAGGGCAGTCGGGCCTCTGGTCTTCCTCAGTAGGCATGGAAGTGAGAGGCTCTCCCAGGGGAGGCTGCCTTTGAGAGTCCTCCCAACCATCCTGGAAAGTGGAATTTTTATCAGTCCCTCCCTTTTCACACAATAATTCTCAGTTCTTAGCACCCAGGGAGGGGATTGAGGGAGTTCATGACCCCCCCCCCCAAATGAGGGGCTCATGTTTGTGCTTCTGGGGGGTTTCTCGAAGGGGTCTTTGACCCAAGGGGGTTAAGGACCTTGACCTCCCATGATCTGCTCCAGGTGGGGTGGGGCAGGATTTGAGCCATGGTCTCTGACTCCCAGGCTGCCCCCACCAAGGGGAGTCCCAGGGCTCCCAGGAGTCTTGAGGAGAGGGTCTTTCCTGAGGACTGTGAGGCAGGGCTCAGGGAGACCTGAGTCACCTGGGCCTAACCCCTGTTGGCTTCCTTCGTGGCGTCTCATCCAGAGTACTCAGTCCCCATGGGCAAGAGTGGGGTCCTGAGCTTCAGCGCCGCCCAGGGCTCCTGTCCCTGCTACTCTTCTCCTTTCACCCCAGGCCCTGAGTGCGCCTCCCCCACTTCCACAACAGGCTCTTTATCCCCTGGCCCCTAGAGACCTAGCGCTCGGCCCCCCAGTTTCAGTGGAGAAGGTGGAGAGGGCATACCTGAGCTGAGGTAGAAGTGAGGGGGTGGTTTTCTAGGCCGTTGCCGGGACGATGTCACCTGAGCTAGGCGCCAGGCACCTGTCGCCTAGGGAACAGCGCGGGCGGGGCCTCTCCCCCGGGAGCCGCCGGGCGGCTGGGCCGAGACTGGAGACGGATCGAATTCCTCAGAGTCCTAGCGGGGGACAGGGGCGGGCG